GATTGGGCAGCGGTTGGGTATGGGTACCACCCAGTGGGTAGTAGGTTGATTGAGTCAAGGAAATATTACCCGGGTGGGGGCATATAATCCAAAACTCAGACAAACTATAAATCACACAGTGGCATTAGGATATAAGGCAATGTCATAAGGCTGAGGCTGTACTATACCGACACTATTGGCGGAGGTTCATCTAGCAGCAAAGCAAGCGGGAGCCACGACTAAATGATATTTATGCGATGCCCTGAGTGCGTGGAACACCGATGCAGAGGTAATATGTCCGAGCAATCCTTGAGCGTTGAACAGCTTACGAATGTTTACTAAGATGTACTTCATGTTGTCTTCTGGAACGGAAGATACGGACACCAAGTGAATGTGCCGTCGTTGGCGGCAGCGCTGCCGGTGCCGACGACGTCGGCTCTTTGCGCAGAGAAATGAGAGGGAACCGCTAGTCTAATTCACTTATTTCCAAGCGTAAGTCCATCTGCCTGTTCATCTGTCTGCAATTCTTTTGCCAGACGCACAATAAAGACGGCTTCGAAAATATAGTATGCTTGAGTATGTGTTTTCCTGGACAAAGAGCTACATGGGCCCGTCCTGGAACAAGGCACATACAAACAACAAGAACAACTGGTGACATAAACACCACATGACGCTTGCGCGCAGGCACACTTAAAGCAAAAAAAAAAACATTAATAAGTAGTGGACAGTTGGGTAGAAACGCATAACCCCACACGGTAATGCAATTCAAAAAGAAGATTGCATCAATAGGCATGGTAAGCGCACGGAGCACATCACCGCTGGCGTACTGGGACGGAACTGAAATAACAGGCGCCTCCAACTTTCCCTGAGGCAATGTTGGATTTGAATTTGGAGCGGTTACGCTGTGCTTGAAAAAAGATCCCTTTCCTAAGCAAGCGATCAAGGCGTGAAGTAAATGAATGAAGAGGACTTATCATAACTTCGAAAGAGAGCTTGTTCCAAAGCTTATCAATCCTGACGCTGACTGATTTTTGTCTTAGTTTTGTGCCACACCTTCCGCTTTCTTGTTAAATTCAAGTCCTCTTGTCTGGCCCCAAACAATGCTGGAAAACGTGTTCGCCTTGGCCGTATCCAAGCAGTGAGTCATACCGTATGCACGAGTCACGACCCTCGTCAGCCGGCGATACCGACGGGAGTGCAAATTAAGGGATCTCAATTTGGTTCGGTTATCACAATTTATCCGTCCCTTCACAGTTTCAATAGCTTGTCTTGAGACCCTCTCTTTTATTATTAGAATTTCGAGCGGAATTGGGATTTGAGCCATGAGAGCAAAATTTCACGTAAGGTCTTACCAGTGAACAAAATAGGCGCATATAACTTATATGCTCTTATATTGTACAGTTATGTCCATCACCCAAGCGCCTTAAATGCTTTTCGCAGTGGTTTGCATTTCTTGGACCATTGCTTTTCGGACTTTCAGGATCATTTTAATGGTCGGTTAGATGTAGGCTATGGTTCTCCATTTGGTACCGAAAATGAGGATTTCTTCTCCTAAAATGAGAAATTTTGGAGTTGTCATGATCGAAGAAATGTTGGCTTATCTTTGATCATTTCGCCATAGCGTTTACGTCATGCTGTACATGTTAACAATCTTCAGAGTTTCAACGAGTCTCATCAGCTTTATGTCATGTCATCTGCAAATAGACTTCCATCAAATTTGCACGCACGACGGGTTTAGCACCCGAGACGATCACGGCTTCATCTCATGCACTTCCGATGCCAGTGTCAGCCACAGCGCGTGCGAGAGGGGGGGGGGCTATTTTGCCATTTAGGTGGGAGACTTTTCTTACATATACGAGAAACAAAAAGCACAAGGCCAGAGCCGTCGAAAGCTCACAACGGAACTCGAACAAAGATGGAAATGGCGACTCACGCTCGCTCACCATTGATGCGATCATCAAAATCCTCGAAAGACTAGTCAGGGTGCGCAGTGCACCTTTGAGGTGCGAATCAACGCCGTGTGGCTGAAGACTTCGCTATGATGACGCTCACGGTGCTGGCTCTTTGCGCAGCAAATTCAGCGGAAACCAGCGGTGAACGACACCGGTGTCAGCCACAGGGCGTGCGAGAGAATGGTTCGCAATGGTTCGGTTCGGTAGAGTGGGAGTGGAGATCATATGGTACAGTCAAGGGATCCTCTTCATTGCTAAAGGGACAATGTTATTTTGGGGTACCTCCGAAGTGAGCCGAGTGATCAATAAGAGTTCAGCAGTTTGCAGATGCTAACCGAGATCCACTTCGCATTGTTGAGGCACTCAGTGTTACGTCACGAGTTGCGCAACTAGCGGCATCAATAGTGTCGCCACCGCGCAGCCAATCGAGCCGGAGCCAGCTGTCTCATTCATTAATTTCTGAGAGCACGTATGTCTGTCTGCTCTGCCCACATTTGGTAAAGCCAGACGCACAGTACAAACTGCGTCATAGATTGCCGTGAAAGTTGTGCATACGTCTGGTTTATCTTAGTGCCGGTTCACGACATAAATTAACGTGCGTCTTATCCGGTATTGGTTACAGCGGGTGCAAGAGGGTAGGGGTCACGTTGTAGCACTTGGCGGTGGGAAAATATCCGCATATGTAGGAACTAAGACGAGCAAGCTGTCCAAAGCCCAGGATTTTGAAAACGTGCCGTCAGGCTCTGACACAATGACTATGGCCTTCCAAGATGCCGGTGTGTCAACTGACGCAGGCACTGGAAGCTTATATGCACGAGTTAAGACGTGCTGGGCATGCTTAAGATGCAAAATAATGTGAAATATCTGAAGCTGGTGAAGGTGGTGCTATAACCCCGCCAACTGCACGCATCTTCGTGCAGCAAAGCAAGCGGAACCCAGCCATGCATGCCGTTTATTTGCTGTCCTGAGTGCACGAGCTCGTGTCTGGGTAATCCGAGGGCTTGCAAATGCTGACATCCTCTTCACATTATTCAGACGAGAATCAACGTTACATAGTTGGAGGCGGCGTCAACGGAGTCGCTTCTTCGTGCAGCGGAACAAGCGGGCACCGCTTGTCGAGGTGCGTGCGAGTTCAGTGTCAGAGAAGAATGATATATGACTTACCGTATATAGTGGTGCCGGTCATAATGTCCGGAGCGGGCGCGTCATTTTCTTCGACTGTTGACAGCAACTCAGCTTGGAACTGGCCAAACGTGATCACCCGGTCTACTTTTTACCGACTGACAAAGAAAGGTCTGTTGACATCTGGCTAAACCGGACAAACCTGGCTCGAGCGGTCGTGCTGGAATGGTGTGCGACAAGTGAAACCAGCCACAGCCCTCCTGGTAGCAACAGCGTACGAGAGATTATCCCGCGTACTTCACATCAACAGACCTCCTTGACATCCCGGTTTTTTCGACATAATGAGTTCAGATTTCTTATGCTGACAGCCATCGACCTCTGATAGAACGGACCTCCAAATAGTACCCCATTTCTAATATAACAAAATGTAGGGGCGGAATATCTTGGCACCCAAGCGATTCAGCCAGATATCTCTTGGTACTCAAGATATCTCGGTGCCAGCAATGTCTCAACACTGGCAGCCAGGACGCCGTTCTGGTACCGTCCATACCGATCCAGTACCGGCTGCCGGTCCCCATTTAGTCGGCATATTGGCCTCGTCCCGGTCTCTCTCTCTCTCTCTCTCTCTCTCTCTCTCTCTCTCTCTCTCTCTCTCTCTCTCTCTCTCTTCCTCCTCTCCTCTCTCTTCTCTCTCTCTCTTCTCTCTCTCTCTCTTCTCTCTTCTCTCCTCTCTCTCTTCTCTCTCTCTCTCTCTCTCTCTCTCTCTCTCTCTCCTCTCTCTCTCTCCTTCTCTCTCTCTCTCTCTCTCTCTCTCTCTCTTCTCTCTTCTCTCTCTCTCTCTCTCTCTCTCTCTCTCTCTCTCTCTCTCTCTCTCTCTCTCTCTCTCTCGCTCTCTCTCTCTCTCTCTCTCTCTTCTCTCCTCTCTCTCTCTCTCTCTCTCTCTCTCTCTTCTCTCTCTCTCTCTCTCTCTCTCTCTCTCTTCTCTCTCTCTCCTCTCTCTCTCTCTCTCCTGCTCTCTCTCTCTCTCCTCTCTCTCTCTATCTCTCTCTCTCTCTCTATCTCTCCTCTCTCTCTCTCTCTCTCTCTCTCTACCTCTCCTTCTCTCTCTCTCTCTATCTCTCTCTCTATCTCTCTCTCTCTCTCTCTCTCTCTCTCTCCTCTCTCTCTCTCTCTCTCTCTCTTCTCTCTTCTCTCTCTCTCTCTCTCTCTCTCTCTCTCTCTCTCTCTCTCTCTCTCTCTCACTTCTCTGTCCGAGACGTGGGACAGCCATGACAACGGCATGACCGTGGTGCAGAAACGCATGACCACGTGTGATCCTGTCGAAGGATTTTAGGGCCACATGACCCGGGTTCAAACCCCATGAAAGCCGCTAGCGCTTTCCCTCACGAGGTTGACAGTCAGCATGATGTGCCGTGTCGTGTTGCGGCATCGGTGAAATTCACACCCAGGACACGGCAAAGCTTCTGCACAGGTAACTAGGGGTTTGGTTCCCTGAAAGGGTGGACCCAAAGGGGGGAGGGGTAACGTCATGAGAGTTCGATCGCGAAATATTGACACGGCAAAGCACGTGCATCCCTCAATTACCGTACCGATAATGTATTCGGGAAACCAGAGGTTCGTGGTTCCACTACCCACGGTGCTCGTCCTTTCTGCCAGGGTGAAATGCTAAACGACGCCAAACAGCCGCAGCAGCTGAGTGTATCGTTAGGTCTAATGACGCCGACGTTCCCAACGTGTCAACTGCGGCGTCCGCATCCTGCGAGCGCTATCCAGATCGTCGCCCGGCGAAACTTATCTCCACATCCTGACCATGTACGCCATTGAGTTCTTGTGAGCCTCCGGAAAGCGAGCATTTCATATCGTCGGTCGCTGGCAGAATTTCAACGTCAAACTACTCCGGTTTCAGCCAGGCCAGCAGGCTAACGATACAGACTATTTTTACACCTCACTGCCTCAAAATATGTATTCATCGTTCGCCTTGCGCTCCAACAAGCAATCGTACACTGTCGTGCCTATCGTGATGGTGTCCTATATTAGTAGGAAGCCATTAAACGCGGCGGCCTGGATGGGCTTTGCAGCCGACAGAACGCAGTTGTAATTACCCCCGTCACGAGGCCGAATCGGTGTGTCCGGTGACACAACCGTAAAAGGCAGCGTCACATTTGTTGCAGTGAAGCAGTGCCCTGCGACTGATGCCCACGCGTGACAAGTACTCACGCGATGGTGCAATGAAGTAAATTATGCAGACCACCCTCACTGCACGGCAAAACTACGCGCGCTCATGAACCACAACGGTGCGCATCTCGACTCGGTTAGACACAGCCAGCGTACGTTAAGCTGCGTTACTTCACCACATTGGCATGCACTGAACAACATTCACTCACATCGACACGTCCACAAAACCAACCACTTTGCGTATTTTATGGCACGCTAGAACCTGTTGTGTGTTTGTTTCACAGTTCTGATTAACGACAGCACGCGTGCACATGGTAACAGGCACACACATTTAAAATGGTATCACCGCGACCCGCGGCTGATATCACCACTAGCGTTTCACTAATGCACGTATCGATCTAATGTTTATATCGGTAAAGAATAAGCCAAATGGGTTGCAAACAATGCAAAGTCGAGCCCAAATGCTTGACAATGATGTGATCACAGTGAGCCGCTGGCCAGCACAACATTGGTCGATATAATAATGCGTTAGTTCATCACATTAGTTCGTCTCAAGGAGCCAGCGTTAAACGTCCAGCTTTGCTGTTAGTTACAAGATGAGCGGCCACAGTAACAGAGATTTTAAAGCATGCTAAGTAGATACAATCTCAAGTGCACGTCATAAAGCAACGTCATGCCCATGCAAATGCATCTGCCTGGGTCCGAAGAGGCCTTCGGCTGATCAAAACATCGACTACCTCTGAACAGTCCAAAAGAACAGACTCTGCCCACCGCCAGGCCCGCCTATTCCTCGTCCAGACAACGGTTGGCGTGGTTCTGCAACGGCACGACGTCCAGGAAAGCCATGTCGCACTTGGGACAGGTATACACGGTGGGCTGTTGCTCGCTCTCCAGCGGCGGCAGCCGGATGTTGAATTGCGGCTGCGGCTGCGGCTGCGGCGTCTCCACCTGCGCCAGGCCGTCCGGATGAGCCTGCGCGACGGCCTCCGGGCTGCGCCGCTGCGCCTGCAGCTCGCCGCTCACCTGGCGCAGGCGCACTTGTAGCTGGCCCAGCTCCAGGCGCAGCTGCTCGCGCTCCGACACCAGCTGCTCGCGCTGGCGCCGCTCCTGGTGGAAGTCCTGCTGGTACACGTCCACCTGCGCCTTCAGGATATCGACGGCTTGCAGGTCGCGGCGCAGCTGCATCACCACACGCTGCAGACGCTCGCACTCGGCGCCGCGCGCCGCCAGCAGCTCCTCCATCGAGAGGATGCGCGCCTGCAGGCCGTCCGTGTGCACCTGCAGGCGCTGCCGGTCGCCAGGTGTCGGTGGCGCCTGGTCCTCCTCCCAGTGCGAGGCCAGGCTCTCGTACAGGCGCCGCAGCCGGCCCAGCGCCGCCGTGGCGCCGCCGCCCTCCTCGCCGCCGCGCTCGGCCTCCTGGCGGCCGCGCGCCAACTCGGCGCGCAGTGTCGCCATCTCTTCCGCCAGGCGGCCGGCGGCAGGCTCTGCCAGCCGCGCGGTCAGGCCGTCCAGCGCCCGGTCGGCCGCTGCCAGCCGCGCTGTGTGCGCCGACAGCGCGCCGTGCGCCGCGCCCAGCTGCTCGGCCGACTGGCGCAGAGTCTCCTCCACGGGCGTGAAGCTGGCGTCGCCGTTGAGCCAGGCGCGGAGCTCGAGCCGCTGGCGACGCTCGCTGTCCAGAGCGCGGCGCAGGCGGTCGCCCTCCTCGCGCAGACGCTGCGCCTCGCGCTCGCCAGCGTCCGGCCGCCAGTCGGGCAGCTGCCGGCAGGCGCTCAGCTCCGCCTGCTGGCGAGCCAGCTTCGAGCCCAGCCGCTCCACCTCGAGCCGCGCGTCGCGCAGCTCACCCTCGACGCGTGACAGCTGCGAGCGCAGCGCGATCACCTCCGGCTGCACCTGGCCGGCCCGCTGCTGGCTCTGCTCCGACCCGACCGGCTCCTGGCTCTGCTCCTCTTCAGCCGAGGCACGGCTCCGCTCCGCCTCAACCGTCCCCTCGCTCAGCTGTGAGCCGGCCGCATCCTGTCCTAATCCAGCCGCCTCCAGGCTCTGCTCGGGCCCAGCCGAGCAGCGCTTCTCCTGCTTCAGAGCAGCATTCTCCTGCCGCAGCTCCAGGATGATGTCGCGAGCACGCTGGCAGTGCTCGGCCACCTGGCGCCTCTCCTGGCGCAGACGCTGGTTGTCTTGGCGCCAGCTGAGCAGAATTTCACACTGTTGGCGGAGCGCTGCCGAGCTCCCCCGGATCGAGTCACGCAGCTTCAGGTTCTCAGCCAGTACATTGCGAATCTTGGTCTGCAGTGCTTCCATGTCTAGATCGATGGTGACTGAGCTACCAGAGAGGAAGGAGGACATCATCTGGGCATTGATGTCAGGCTGGGCTGGCTGGTCACAGGCAGGGCCATCCTCGAATGGTACACAGTCATCTGCCACTGTTGTGCCTGGGTCATACAGGCTGTGGTGAGATGGAGCCTGCGAGCTGGGCCGGGAGAGCAGCTCAAAGCCTGACTCTTCCCAGTCAAATGAGTTTGATGCATTCTCCACAGGCCCAGCAGCTGGCTGCATCATGTCCATTTCAGTGACAGCTGATATCTTCTTCTATCCCCTTGAAGAAAAATAGTTTGTTAATAATATCGCATGACACAAATGAGTGGGCCTCTGCTTTTCAGACATGCAGATAGCATGCCACAACAGAATGCATACCTTGTATACACATGATTTTAGTGCATCTAGGTGGTCCCCACCATGCCAGAGCTCCTGCATATCATGAAAATATTTGAGTACCAAAGGTTTTAAGGATGCAGCAAAGGAGGTGCAAGAGACATGTGGTTTCATGTATAAAAACACATAAAGGTTAATACTCTAGCAATGCATTCTTTTTTATCAGACATCACAAAGCCTGATGGTACAATAGGTAATCATGCTTGAGGTTTGTAGTTTTCAGTCAACTCAAAAGTAAGATGGAAAATTCATTACTTTGGTCAATCAACACTGGAATGCACTGCTAACCTGCATAATTCGCACAGGTTTTCTAATGTTGATGTGACTGATGTACTGCCATTGATATTGGTCCTCCAAAGCTTCTTGAAGACAAAGAGGTAAATGCAAGTAAAGACACCAGGTGTGCACCGCGAGACCACGCATGACTCGTAAGCCCCGTCGACCAAAAGCTCTCCCCGACAGCAGGAGAAACAAAGCTTTCGAAGCGAGGTGATACAACACACTTTCAATAGTGTAGCATCAGTTCAGTACCAGAGTATCAATAAATACCTGAAATGAAACCAAACAAACCCCAACAAGGCCTCCACCCGCACCATTACAAAGGGCCCAGCGTCCTGCGCACTTGCAGCCGCAGCTGTCCGTTCAGTGCGCTCGAATGTTGTATTAGCGAAAACAAATGACGTAACAGGACTTAGGACCCTAAGGATTCGGCTGATTTCTGAACATGAGTATAGCATTAGCTGCTGTCATCAGCAGTCGAACATTTTGGACTAAGAGAGGCGAAGACGACGCCCTTTGCTGCATTAAATAAGTAGCCAACACTTGAGTCATTCTGCCATGCAGAACAGTAGATCGGTTGATTTTGCCAAGCTTGGGGGATTGTTGGGGTGTCCGATAAACGCAGGATCCGATTCTGCTACACTTACGAAATTGTGGATGGTTGCCCCTAGAGCACACCCAGGTGAGTTGCACACTCACTTTTGTGTGAGACAACCAAATGACTGCGTTTTGTCGCAGATCGTGATATTTGCTTAGAACGACTTCTCGAGCTAATGCATGTTTAAGTCGTTTAGAACGAAGTGACTTAACTCAAACTTGACTCGTGATCTTCACCCATGCACGCGGCTGTGGCATAGTTGAGCTCTGACATAGGTTTGCTTAATGACATCCTCAAATGGCTAGAGGTGAATAAATATCTGACAATGATCATTTTTGAAGAATATTGTGATTCCCAATCCAGGCTGCAAGCCATGACAGACTATTCCAAGATTTTGTTGGGGTGTAGGTGATCAAAAACTTCCAATTTGGGACAGTTTATCAAAATATGGGGCAGAAATTATGGAGTTCTATTGTTCAGGGAATCATGACATGTTTTTCAAAATTTGAAAGATTGCAGACAATGACCAAATAGGATGGTAACTGATGTTTTTGGGAGGTAAGTGTAGTCAGCAAAACCTGTTTTAAATGGGGTAGTTTCCCAGCCTTTCTGGTGCAGGATTGTCAGCATCAAACATCTTGTTGGCAGTTCTGCCATGGCTTGCAGACTGGTCCTCAGGCACTTGGATCTGATAAGTGGTACTCTGTATAGGTTACTTAAGGGCTTGAGTTTTGTCTATAGCCAATATTTGTGTTAGCTAATTTTGAACATAATTGACAGCCAATAACTACACAGTGTCTTGTACACATTTCCTCACCACCAGCAATGTATTATAGCAATATCTATTGTTTGGGATAAGATTGCACAAAGTTTCTATTTTTTCTGGCTATTCTTTTTTTTGCCTGAAAGACAGAATGCTTAGTGCTCTTAGGTAGAAGTGAAGAGGAGAGATACCGGCTATTAGTGGAATGATGATCATTAGGGTGCTGGGGTATAATAACTGGCTGATAATTTTGTGCCCATGGCCAGTAGTGTAATCCCAGCTTATCTGAATTATTTAACAGGTGGATGGCTATAAGTCATGCATGACATCCTGTATAACTGCCATGGTCTAAATGCCACCATTGATGCATTTTTCAGATCCACAATGGATAAGTTATAGAATGTGCAGATATGCTGCTTGAATGTGATGCCTGCTGCTGGATAGTCAAGGTCACTCAACTGGCATGCTTGCACAGAACTGAAAAAAAATACAAGGAAACCCAGTGTTACCAATGTTCCACTTACCCTCCAATTTGTTACCAACATTATTGCTGCTGCAATGTTACCACTTATCCCACTTGATGCCCTTGTGTAGTGCTGATCATCTCACCACTCTGCCAACTGTGGCAACACAGGTTGTAGTGCTGGAGATTGCAGGTCCTAATGTGAAGTGTTCTGTATTTCTGGGTATGCCCCAGAGATCTGATGATTGTGCTGTGATGTCAGGATATCAGGAGTCTGTCTCAATGATCTATACACATCCACCCTGCATGCTCCTAGCACATATGAGCCCATGCCAGGCAGACAACCAGCATGTGATGGAAAGTTGGGAAGAGCATGCCAATGACCCAGACAGTGGAGCAGAAGTAGGTGGGAGATCTATAGCACTAGGTTTGATCTTTATTGTGACAGGCTCTGAGGATGGCCATGGGCTGCATCCATTTTTTGAAGGCTCTGGGTGAGGTGGAAAGTATTGTAGTCCTTGCCCAAGCCTTTCTCTCTCAGTTTCCTACCATTGGAGTGACTGGTGGCAAGGCTGAATTTGCTTTTGAAAGAAATGGGAGACACCAGAGGTCATGCCATCAGGAATAAACATGATAGGTGGATAGCTGTGACAGCGTGAGGAAGGGGGCATGGTGTCGCCGTTCGCGTCGTACCTACGGTCCAGTGTCGTACCTACGGCCCCCACGTACCTACGGTCAGGTCATGTATACCCGTCGGATGTCCGGGGGGGTGGGGGGAGGGGGTACGCGATGACCTGCGGATGGACGCCGAACACACAGCTGCGCCTGGACAGGTGCCGCTTCTGATGCTTCGAGGGTGGGCTTGTCGGGCATGGGGTCATTGGCGCCGTATGTAGACTCGGGAGAATCCAGTAACAGCGATCAGGGAGCATCCTAAAGCTGGCACGACATGGACCTGCAGAAGTTGTGGGATTTGTAAGTGTCTACCGGCACGTCCCTCCCATGGCAGACGACCGATGGCACGGATCCGATGGCATCGCTGTACCAGCTGACTCGTCAGGTTACCGCCTCACGACGGACAGAAGAGTGAAAAGCAAGGTTTTGGCGCTTCGCACCACACTTCGGAGCGGCCGCAGCCAATATTTCGCACAGGGACGGGGAGTTCTGTGTTGAGTCGCTGCCGGTAGTGTGAGTATTGTCGGCGGTTTCTCGTCACAGCGAGCCGGGGACAGACGCCGGAAACGAAACCACTGGCATGCTTCTCGTCAGTTCTGATGGCGGCGAAGCACCGTTGTTCTTCTTGCGGCCTGGTGTGTTGGGCCCTTGTCGCTGCAGTGAGGAGGTGGAAGGTATGCCTGTGTGCGGCAACGAAACTGCGCTCCATACACGCCGCTACGCGCTCATGTGGCTCTCAAATCAGACCGCCCCCTGCATGCGTTTGTAAGGTAGTGGATCTGGAGTCATATCACTACAAGATTGCGCACAGAAGAGGTGAGAACTCGATGGCAGACCGCCTGGACAGGATTAACCAGCCAGTGAACGTGTCGACACAAGCTTTGCAAGGTGATCAATTGGGCTGAAGTCGTGTCACTACGAGGTTGTGCACAGACGCCCTAAAACACGAAGTCACCACCACAGAAGAGATGAGAACACGACGGCGGACTGCTTAAACGGGACCAGCCAGCCAGTAAACAGGGCTGTCACCGATGATGATAAACATATGGAAAGGGACATCTACAGGCCTGAAGCGGTCATGAACCAGATACCCGCCGCTTGGACACACACACTAGAATAGTTTTGCCTCGTCACTGTTGATTGCGAATGATGGTAGACGTCGTTCGGTGCCGACACTTCTGCGGGAATGAGCGTGGGAAAGGAACGTTGGTCAATGAAGATCGAGTCGTGGTATGGCAGCTATTCGACGGTTTGTTGACACGCCGCATCCAGTGGTGTAGCTTAATGTGGAAAGCACCCTGCAGAGCCTGAAACAAGCTATTTTTGTTTCTATGACTTCATGCAGCATCCTCAGAGTGTTTGGTTTGCAGGGTAAACAAACCACAGTATCAGCCGGATGTTGGCATGGAGCGGTACGAAATCGGATGTTTGGCGCCTTAGAGAGGGGACGTGGCAGCCCTGGTATGGAGCGCTGCGAGATTTCAGCATTGTCTTGTTGCTTTAGACTCGTTCTGGACGCACTGAGTGTATCGCGTGAATCGAACATCAGCATAGATCTAAACTAAATGTTTTATTTTATTGAATTGGCCAACTTATCTTATATGATGCCCGGAGTGAAAGCTTTGGATATCCCTGCGCTGAAGGGGTTGATCAGGATTTCGTCAGGGTGGAAGACACAGAAGTTGTGCTGACACTGATTGTGGTGTCCCTTAGAGGGGGACATGTAAGGGTCCCTTAACACGCACTCGGGTGGCCGGTTGGATACCCTTCGCTCGGGTGGGGGGGGGGGAATTTTATTCCCTGAGATCTCAGAAACTAAAAGAGCTAGATACACCAAATTCGCAGGGTGTAGTGACCTGTACATGAACTCACTTGCGTCAAAATTTGAAATTCTTAGGTCATGAAATTGGAGTCAAATGAGGTCCAAAACTAAAATGTTGACCTGGGTCATTTGAGGTCGGTGACCTATTCTTACCATTAAGAATTCCATAGCAGACGTGTAATGTAGTTCCTTGCTATCAAAAGATTCGAAGTGAGCACCAGAAACTACCCCATACAGCAAGCTCTAGAGTAACAAAAAAGGTTGGTTTTGACCTTGTTTCGACGTTCATACCTGACCCAAGGTCAATGGAATTTGTTCATTCAATTGTTGTGTTTCCTAAAAAAGCATCTCAGAGAGGTATGGCGTCGTCTAACACTCTGTTTTTGCATCCGATTAAACGATTCCCTAGAAATCGACTTCGCTGAATGCATGGCCTGACGTTGACCTGCCGTAGGTCAGCGACTTTACAGGGTACATCTAAAATGTCGTCTATGAAACGATCTGCAATGCAGTTGTCTACAGCTATGCAAAATATGGTGCGGCTACGCGGCACCGTTCGGAAGCCATTCGGGAAAACCCTTCGGGAGATCAAACTGACCCCCAAACGAGCGCGTGTTAAATGACCCCTTTGGATTTGGTGTCTTTTGAAAATGTAGTAATTGTGCGTCAAAATGGAAAAAGTGACTCATTGTCGAAAAGGCTAAGCTCGAATTTCGACCATTTAGATATGAATATTGTGGTGCCCCCTGAAATCTTTGTCTCTTAAAATGAACGCTGTCGGGCTCTTTGTGGTGCCCCCTGGAGTTGGGTATGTTCTAAATTAAAGGTTACGGTGCTTCACAGTGGAGGTTTTTTTTGGTGCTTCGGCACCGAATTGCTCGATCCAGGATTTATTCAGTGAAGTGGCAGGGCATTTCAATTTTCCTGAAATTAGTTACC